GAAGCGCAAAGCAGATGCTGCATTCCAAAATTGCACAGTATGGTTGCTATGACAAGTCTCTAGTTGCAAATTGTGTTTTTAGCGTCTTAATTTTATTTTATTCGAATATGGTTTTTTTTGACTTTAAAAATTAAAGTGCTTACATAGCACCAACGTGGCTTCATACTTAACATTGATTACTCCATCCTGCTTTCATTCTGTTAATCTGAACATTCCTCTTTCTCTAGAGAAAAGACAGGGACAGGGAGAGATTATCCCTTGAACTAATTGATTTGTGCACAGAATGGGGCATTGCAATAGAAATATCCGTACTATGATGTGTGTATTCTCTTGAAAATTAGGGATGTCCACGTATTGAAATATTTATCTGAACTAATCAAGTGCTTGGGTCTTTAATAACATGGGAATTGGGTTCAAACACTCTTTTTGGGCTCTTAGAACGTGTTCTTATTTTTCTTAGCATCCAAGTGCACATATATACCAATGGCTCAAAGCCATGATGGCTTTGTTGGTGGTCTATGATGTGTCATGTCAAGCTCGACATGTGCAATTGCCCATGTCATCATCCCTGTAAGCATTCTTGATCTAGAAATTTTTTTAACACTTTGGAGGGCTTGTTGGGCTTTAGGACCTTTCTATTGAATGTCTCCTAGTATGCTATCACTTATGATTAGGTCACGATTTTGTTTTTGAGATCCTGTAATTATACAGTTGTAGCCCTATTTTGGCGAAAAAAAATCTTACATCGCAATATACAGTTCAATGTGAATGTGCTTTGAGCTCCAGTTATTCCATCAGATGTGTAAAATAATGAACTTTTCTTGGACCCATGCAGACAATCAAATCATTTTTAGAAGAAACCCTTGTGGCAATTCCTGACTCAGTCTTGGATTCACCTATTGGGGAGCTACGACGTGGTCGCACAGATCTTTTTGCAACATAGATAGATAGTATGCTGCCGCCTCCATACACAAGTACAAGAGAACAAGATGCTATATATGCTTGAGTTTTACATGTATTCTTCAAATCGAGGTCTTGGGTACAGTTATATTGTTATTATTCCCTTATATTTTTAATTGGGCTCATGTATTCTTCAAGTCCATTTTTGGGAGAGAAAGTGGTGGGTCTAGTGTAATTCTATACGTTAAAATATTAATGCTTTGGTTAGCTGCTTGTTGTAAGCGATTGACTTTTGATATTAATGTGTTCATTGTAGAGACTTTAAGCAAAAGATGGAATTTGCTATTATGTGTGGTGGTTGATTTTGCTGCTATTTTGTGGATATTAGCCAATAAAAGTTCGCTGCAATATGATGCGCCCCCCATTACAATTGTTAAAGAGAGCTGGCTCGGTCTTAAAACTAGCTCTTGAAGGATCGGGCCTAAAAATGCTCGCTCTTAAAGTATGCAGTATCAAAATTATGATATTATTAAAGTTGGTCTTTGGACATATGGGCTTACAATGTAAGAGGATTGTCCTTTTTTGTTATTTTTTAAAATTTAAATTCTTTTCCATTATTTTGAAATAAAAAAATAAAACAATAAAATTTCTAAAAAAATTTATTCAAATTATAAATATTAGTAAACATTAATATAAAAAGTATCAAATATTAATAAATTATTGTCCAAACTCTAAAAAACCAAAATCAAATAAAACAACAAAAGCAAAAAAGATAAAACCCAAGCAGTTGAAAATTAGCAACATCAACATGATTATTATCTTCATCTTCATCATAATCATCAAGATCAATAATATTTGATTGTTCTTTACTACTGGAGGCTCTTCTTAAGTGATGAAAATATTAAGATATTTGTTTTCATAACTCTTATCTAAAGTAAAACAATGTAATAGTTACGAGTACAAATAAGAGTCTGAATATTTGTTAGGATAAGAGAATTTTTATACTTTGTTAAAATATATGAACCAACAAAACAAAAGAAGATTCACTAGCTACTGTAGTGATTGAAATACTAAGAATATCAGCCATTATCCTTGAAAGAGTTGAAAATTAATTTTAATTATTATTCTACTAATTTAAGACATTTAATTTTTTTTAATTATTTGGCTTAAGCATTAGTTCTTCTAAATAATTTTCTAGTTTAAACTTGTCCATAAACAACTAATCCACAATTATATAAATATCTTGATAATAATAAGCAAATAAGTGAGTTTAAAAAGGTTAGCTCTCAGTCTTAACGGCCTGACTTTTTTATTTTTAAGGAGCTAATCTTTTTAGAGTTTAACTTCTTTTTGACTTCTTAAAAATACAAGGGCCAGTTCTTGGCTCCTATGGACTTGACTTGTTTTGACAGCTATACCATCCATCTAAAAAGAGAGAGAGAGAGAAAAAATATGTACTTTTGGGGGGGGGGACGAAAAATTTATTTTTAAGTTGTTACTTATTATATATGCTTTAGTCATGTACGTAATTTGTTTTAAGATCTATATTTTATGACTCAAAACATTCAATATGAATTTTTTCCTTTTATTTAAGTTGATTTATGGGTTACGTATGTAAATAATTTTATTAATTTTTTGTGAAAGAAGTAGGAAAATAATTATATATGCATGTATGTTAACATTTGCATTCTAAAATTTTTAAAATTTTCGTATCTTTTGGATCACATTCTGTCATATATGTGTACTCACCAAGGCGTACGGTTGTATAATTAATATAGTTATTTATTTATTCTTAATAATTATTTTATGGGAAAATGGCACAAAAATGACACATCAACTTGGAAATACCAAAGTGATCACTTGAATTTGTAAAATACCAATTTAGACACAAGTGATCATTTGGGATTTTTAAATTTGCTGAAATGATCATATTGCCTTTCATTTTATTTATTATTTTTTAAAAACCAAAAGCTCTACTGGCCAACCGGTTGTAGGAGCTCTAGCGACTGCCGACAATCGGTCGTCAGAGCTCTGGCGGCCGGCAACAATTTTTTTGAAATTTTTTACAATTGAAGTAAAAAATTAACAATTTTTGTAACGCTATTAACAAGTTCAGTATAGCAGTTAACAACAGATTTTTCAGAAAACTCAAAAAGTAGCATTTTTTACAACTTAAGTAATACCGTTAACAAGTTTCGTAATTTTATTAACAACTTCGATATTATATTTAACAATAGGTTTTCTTAAAAATTAAAAAAAAAAGACTTTTTTTACAACTTTAGCAACTTTTTTAAAATTTCTTTTTGCAACTTTAATAAAATAGTTAATAAGTTTTGTAATACTATTAACAAATTCAGTATAGTAGTTACAACATGTTTTCTAAGAAATTCAAAAAGTAACATTTTTACAACTTCAGTAATGCCGTTAAGAAGTTCCGTAACTCTATTAACAAATTTGGTATAGTATTTAATAACAGGTTTTCCAAGAAATTCAAAACGTAACATTTTTACAGTTTCAATAACACGGTTAATAAGTTATGTAATGATATTAACAACCCTCATAAAGGTTGATATTTTAATATTAGCTCCCCTTTTTTCACTTATTAGGCAGTCATTATAGTCATGAGAGTTGTTAATATCATTACATAATTTGTTAACTGTATTACTAAAACTGTAAAAATGTCACTTTTTGAATTTTTTAAAAAACCTGTTGTTAATGCTATATCGAACCTGTTAATAGAGTTATGAAACTTGCTAATAGCATTACTAAAGCTGTAAAAATACTACTTTTTGAATTCTCTGAAAAACCTGTTATTGATTGTTATACTGAATTTGTTAATAGCATTACAAAACTTGTTAACTATTTTACTGAAGTTGTAAAATTTTTTTTAAAAAGTAGTTGCTAAAATTGTGAAAATATTTTTTAATTTTTAAGAAAACATGTTGTTAAATGTAATACTGAAATTGTTAATACAATTACGGAACTTGTTAAAGGTATTATTGAAATTGTAAAAATGCTACTTTTTGAATTTTTTTGGAAAACTTGTTATTAACTGTTATATCGAACTTGTTAATAACGTTACAAAAGTTGTTAACTGTTTTACTGTAATTGTATAAATTTTCAAAGAAATTACTACCGACTGCCATAGTTTCGGTGAAGGCGGCCGCCGCCGGCAATAGAGCTACAATGACCGGCAAACGAGTGGAAGCTTTTGGTTTTTTAAAAAAGAATAAATAAAAAAAAGGTAATATGATCATTTCAGTAAATTTAAAAATCTCAAATTAGTCACTTGTGTCTAAATTGATATTTTGCAAATTTAAATGACTATTTTGATTTTTCCATACCGAAGTGTTATTTTCGCGTCATTTTCCCTTATGTCTAATAAAAAAAAAAAGGAAAAAGAACGCTGCCTGGTTTTTCAGGTTATCAAATCCTATGCATCTTCTTCTCAATATCTCCATTATTTTCATTCCTAAACTCCGATGGTGATGGAGTCGGAGGCCAAGATCGGCATGACCGATTGGGGTTCGCAAACGAACTGGACTATTGCTTCTGGTTCTCTCAAAGATTGTATCACCTTCGAATCCTCACTGTCTCTGGCCAATGAAGTTGGCGATGAAGTAGGAGCGACCACTGTGGATTCGACACCTAAATCCTCTCTTATCCTCTATCCTGCTTCAGCTGATTCTGGCCCTTGCGAGATCAAGAGTAAGCCCCAAGTTTGATTCACCTTTTGTTTCCATTCAAGCTGTAAATTTTACAGTACTGACAAATTTATCCCATCTTCAATTTCTTGAGGTCGGATGAATATCTTGGCAAAATTCATGAATGTGTGGTGCTGAATTTCTTTTCTTTTTTAACATATATTAGCATGTTGGTGAAATTTGGGCATGCTTTGCGAATTCGAGTTTGTGAAGTTTCCATTTGAATTCTACGTGTGATGTTTTTGTACTAGGGGTCATTGATCTGGTTCATATCATCTTTGTTGAATTGAAAATTCTGTTGGATGGCGTTTTTCTTTATGGTTGTTCTTTGGAAGCTAGAACTAGATACCTTTTCTTTTAGTGACCTTGCAAGTTCCACAACTCCGCAATGCTTATTCTTATGGAGCAAGTGCCTTCTCAAGTTTCTATTTTTTAAATACGTGGAATTAATAATCAAATTAATTATTAGTTAGCACTTGATTATGGATTGGGTTTTTGACATGGAAAAATTATTGTGTAGCTCTAGCCTCTTCTAAACTTGGGGTCTTGTGAGTTGAAGTTTTCTCTCATTTTCTCTCCTTCCTCATTCTTCCTCCTTGAATAGATCCTTCAATCATTTCACAAATGTCGTTTATCAGTGTTGTGATTAAGCATATCATGTGTGTTTTCCATTATCTAGTTGAATCCACTGAGCCGAGCCTTTTGCTTCCATGTCTAGTGTTGAATACTAATTGCTTGTTTCTTAAGGGAAAAAATGTTTCTTTTGGCTACTTAAGGGAAGATTTCTTGTTCTGCAGTTAGCTTTGCACAAAAGCATGAGGTCTTACAAGTTTATGTTCGAAGTACAGCCAGAGTGTATGAAATTTACTGTGAACCTGATGTGCAGAGTAGTAATGAGTATCTCTGTACTGTTCGCTGTGGCATTGCTGCTAGAGATGGAGAGGTTCTTCATGCATTAAATGTTGAAGAAGTTGTTTCTTCACATATTAAGGGCTTTAACAAAGAGTTGGCTGAAGAAAATAATAGAAGTGAAGATGACTGGGTTGATGTAAAAATTCCTGATTCTCCTGTGTTGGATAGGGGAAACCATGGTTTGCAAACAAAATCCTGTAGTAACTCAGCAAAAAGCAGTCAGGTGTGCTGATCCAGTCTTTCCAATTGATTACTCATTCTGTTATGCCATTTGATTTCATTACTCTTTTTATTTCTTGGTATTCTTGCTCTCTTTCTTGGAGTGCAACCCACTGTTGTTAGTTATATTAATTGTCTTCTTCTACATTTGGGGGGCTAAAAGAACCAAGAGTGGAAGATAAATAATGCAATCAATTCAGCAACGGATTGTGTCGATGTTCTCTTTTGCTGTTTGTATAAATGTAAAACATGGAGAATGGAGAAGACTGAGGAGCAGATAGAAATCAAAGGAAGAAGTCTCGAAAGTTGTTTTTTGTTTGTTGTATTTTCTTCAACCATCTGACTTCTTGCTGACCTAGTGATTTTTTACTGATTCAAAAGGAATGGGATTTTCCATCATGTTCTCTCCTTTTCTGTTTTTTTTTTTTTTTTTAATTGGCCTCTGATGAATTGCTGTCTTTTTCCTTAACTGTTGGTCACTCTAAAACGACAACACAAAATACGTACATGCATCACAAATCTCGCTGTGAAAGAAGAGCTTTCGAGGATGACAATATTTGCCTGAGGAGGATATTTTGAATGCCATGGTGCTTTCTCTTCTAATAATTAATTCTTTTATTTATGGAATGATGACAAATTTGGCATTAAATAATAGTAGCCATACTCAAGACTTTTTGGCATATTGTTCTTTTTTAACTTTTGCTTTTTCACCATGTTCCTTTTCTTTTATTTCTTTCTACGACGAAGTAATTTTCCCTTAGTTGTGGTTTTCCTCTATTTTTCTCAAGTAATTTTTCTTCTTTTATAATAAAGAACATGCTGATTGATGGAAAATTTCAGGATCTCTATGAGGCTACCGCAGAGACCTCTGATGTAAATCCCTGCATCTCTGTCACACTTCGTCTGCTTTCACTCCAGAATAAAGGCTGTATTTGTATTGATGAGATTTATGTTTTGCTGATCCTGTTGCTCTAGCTGATTCTGAAAGACAAGAGAGCAATGCAGAAAGCTCGTCTGGCAGTTCTCTTATGTCTATGTTTCTTCCGACTCTGATGCAATTATCAAAGACAACTGCTCTGAGCCACATAAATGAGAAGTATCCACCTGTTAGAAAGGAAAAGCTATATTTTCCAGAAGTTGATGTGGGAAGAAGTCATCTATGTGACTCTGTAATTCACACCCAGCCAGAAGGAAGAGCTAGCAAAACTGATCATCAAGAAGGGGAGCTTCGAAAGGTGAATGAAGAAAGTGTGGGTCCATCTCAATCAGACATGCTCTTGCAAGATGCTTCTGTTGATAGCAATCCTACAACAACCTCCCCCGCTGCTATAACAGAGATCAACCAGAGTGAAACACCCTCACAAGCTACTAAAATAAAGAGCAACGACAGTGATGTGCCCTCAAAAGCTACGGCTGTGGAGAAAAATCGTAGTGACTGTCTGGGTGTTAATGTGGAAAGGGCCCTGGAGCAGCTTGTGTCTCGAATGGACAAAATGGAAGCAATCTGTTTGGGCTTTCAAGAGAAAATGCTAATGCCCATAAGCAGCATTGAGGCTAGGCTCCAGCAAGTAGAGCAGCAGCTTGAAACACTGACCATCAAATTACAGAATTCTGGATTCCCATCGTGCTCTAGAACTTATGCTCCAGATAGTTCCTGCACTCAGTCAGATGCTAACTCATGTGACAATTGTCATGGTAGTAGTGTCACTGGAGGATTGAAACCAGACAAGAACGGTTCTCATATTGAAGGACTATCTGTCTCCTCTAACGATAGTTCTGATTCAGCTAATGCTACTCAATTGCACCCTGGTCTCATAGTCACAGCTCCTGAGTTTCTTGATGCTGAGGATGAAGAAGAAAATAAAACACTGGGATTAGAAACAGCTTCAAATGATAAAGAGAGGCAGCATATGTCAATTGATGATGCTGTAGCTTCTGCATTAGCTGGATTTTTATCTTCTGTAACTTCAGAAACTCCGAGGTATACCAAAAGTCTTGTAGTCAGAGCCCCTGAGTTTATAAATGAATATGATCATGAAAACAATGATGCTTCACCTAGAACTTCATATGAGATAGAAAATAATGATGATTCAAACCATTTCAAAGACACGGAGAATATTAGCAGCTTGCAAGAGGTCAACTTCAAACAGTGTTCATTCGGAAACAGAAAAGGTGAAGAATATTGCCAACATAGCGCTGGAGAAGATGACCAGAAAGAGGCGCGTGTAGAACCTGGCGTCCTAGCTGAGCATGATCCAGGAACAAGTTTTGAGCATACTGTGGAGGATAACGAAAGCAGAAATATCAGTGTTCAGATACATGATAGTTTATCATCCACGAGTGACATTCCTAAGCTGTGTCAGACAGATAGTGTCTCTAGTAGTTCCACTGAGGGAGAAGTTTGTGTGAACACTGACTGTACAGACACAGTAGCGACAGAAGTCCCAAAAAAAGCCTCTCACGAAGATATTATGGAGAATGTTCTTGGATTTTCATGCGGTTCCTCTGTGGTGGATTTCAAAACATCAATCTTAGATGTAAAATTCATCTCTCGGGAAAATCATGTTACCAAGCCTTTCCTTGCAGCTCTTGTTGACACTCCAGAGACGAGCTCTCAGGATGATCCTGTGGGTGGAAACAGTGATGATCTTCCTATTAACGAACAATTTAAGAATAATGGTAATCTTTCAGTTGCAGAGCAGAATGATTTGATCTCAATAGATGTTGCAGAACCGGTGGATCCAGCTATCAATGCCCGTTTTTCAGTGGATAAGGACTATTGTGCTTTGATAAATGTGCCTGTGGAGGTTCAGGGTGATGACCTGCAAGAGGACCGTAAACGCAAACGCAACGAGGATGAAATTGCTTCTTCAAGTCTCATATGACGTGGCCTCATGATGCATACTTCTGTTCTTTGCTGTTTGATTTGAATCTAATTTAGTAGTTTACAATCTGGATGCTTCTCCTTCTGAATATATTCTCCTTTGTTGTTAGCTTGTCTTTTATTCTATCATTTATTTATTTGCTTAGTTTTTTCCGCAAGTCAATAATACGAGGGAATTTTCTTAGCTGCTGCTCTTAATCATCTTTGTAAATAGCCGATGACATCTTCAATCTGAAGTCATGGTTTTAGTTCAGTATTCATTTCTATTTATGCATTTATTTATATAAGCGATCGTATGTTTATTATAGTATTTTCCTTTTATTATAGTTTTTCCCAGTATGTTAAGTGTTTATGATTATTAGGGAGTGTTGGGTAACTCTCAAAAGTGCTTCTAAAAAGCATTTTTCATAAAACGAGATAAACTCTTTTATATATTTTCTTCGTAAGTCGTAAAAGCGCTTTTGAAACCATGGTTTGATTTCTATCTAAGTACTTTTAAAATCGAAGATAACCCAAGAGGATTGGTTTGCTAGTAAATGTGAGCATGTGATGTAGTCATTGTGCTATTTAGGTTTCTAAATCTAAGACTCTTCATCTAGCTCTCCCTCTTCCTCCCTCCCAAGACTCTATCTAGCTCTCCCTGTCCCTCCTTCCCTGACCTATGAACGTGATACAGGATAATCAAGAAGTATCGAGTGGTTATTTGTGATGTCAACTGACATCAAATTCCCTTGAGAATTTCTTGTAGAAATGTTTAATAATTAAAACGTGTAAACTACCAATACACTTTTTTTTTTAATAAGAATGAGACTTGAAGTTTATTGTCACACTAAGCTAGTAGAATCTTACTCATAATGGTCAATGAAAAATGAGAAAATGGCAAATGCAAACCCCTAAATATGTGAAATTGTGATTTGGAACCCTCAATTTGAAAAATGACAAATAAAGACATAGTCCCATATTTTAAATATGAAATCTTCATGACATATCTGAAATGTCCATCGACCAAGTGACAAGTTGATATGAGAAATGACAAGTTCACTTTAACGAATGATAATTTAGTAGACCAGATCACAACTTGACTGAAAGTATGCAAATAACAAGTTGACTATGGAAATAACAAATTACTTTAGCGAATGATAACTTCAATAGACCAAATCACAACTTGGCTAAGGGGCATTTCAGACATTTAACCAAGATTTCATATTTGTAATATGAGACTGGATCTTTATTTGTCATTTTTCAAATTGAGGGTCTCAAATCACAATTTCATATATTGGGGGATCTTTATTTGCTATTTTTTCATGAAAAATCACAGCGGAATGGAAGAAAATATAGAGAAAGATAAAGACCAACTTGAAGAGAAGAAAAAAGAAGTCACAAAGGAAGAGGATAAAAGAAGTTAGAGGAAAAGATTTTTAGAGAGAAGCAAAGATAAATGATTCCATATAATTTTTTCACTGCCTCCTCACCACTTTCTTCTACTTTCCATTGTATTAAAAAAAAAAAACTTTATGAACTTTTCTTTTATCCCTTCTTTTAGAGAGAATTATAATAAAGTCCTAAAGAAAAAAGATAATAACAAAATAAGTCCCAAGAGTTGTTATTTTTTATTTTGAAACTTGTTGCACTTTTTAGCAATTATTTTCTTTTTTAGAACCTCACTGTAATCCTCCTTTTTTACTATTACTCTGATATTTGACATTTGATGCCATTGCTAATAAAAAATGATGTAGAACAGAAAAGCAAAAGATGGATGCTTTTGTTTGTTTTTAAGCACATCTTCGAAAATCTTGCATGGCGCATTTCTGTAGCCTCTTATATATAAATATATATAATATTCATTTTTTAAATATCATTTTGTCTTTTCCTCATAAAAATAATAATATTCATTGAGCATTATCTCTATATTATACTAGTACTTATTTTCTCCTCCAGATTCGTATATTTACAAAAAGAAAAAAATTGAAACTTTGGATAGCCATCTATACATGAAGAGGATAATATCCGTATAAAATAAAATAATCTAAAATCTGCAACAGATTTTATATGATACTAATCCTCATAGCTTTCCAGTTTTTATACCTGCATAGAGGGAAATAACTAAGATCCAAAATCCAAGATTCAAAATCTAAGATCCAAAATAAATTCAAACAAATCAACGAAAAATTCAAATAATACAAAAATTCTTTCGAAAAAATTATTCAACAAAACTGTTTTAAAAACGTAAAAAATACAAAGGTAAAGTCATGCAACCCCTAAAATACCCTTAAAAAAAGGGGAAAATTAGATAATAGATCCATATACCGATCTCAGCCCCATGTCCCCTTCTATTTTTGTTTTATGGGCCCGATTTAGCCCAATGTCCGCTTCTGTTTCTGTTTTATGGGCCCGACTTAGCCCAATGTCAATTTCGCTTTTTATTTATAAATACTACTCTAGTACTAGTTATAAGACCTGATACGTAGGCTATAAGCTATATCGTCCGCCACATTCACAATCCAGGGTTTCTCATAGTAACAGGCGAAGACAGGGCAATCTCCGGCAGCCGCTATGGTTCTCAAGTAAGTACCAATTTTCCCTTCTTTTCTTATCTCATCTCTCTGATATGTGCGCGCGCTATGCATAATCAGGAGCTTTTGCTGAACCATGATCTCTAGGAATACTGTTATCTGACATTCTTCTCGCGTTTTTGGTCCATTATTTTGAAACTTTTTGGAGGAAAATATATTCCAGATGAACTCATCGAGCCAAGCAGTTAACGAGAAGTTTCTGAAACTTAGTGCAATGCAATGCCCTGTCGAAAAGGGACTTTCTTCTAAGTTAGAAAGAGGCCTAAGGCCATACTCTCGATCGAGCATTATGGAAAATGTATAGTCATGTGTGAAAATGCTCGTATTTACTTGGGATATAAAACATCTTTCCTTAGAAACACTGGAAATGAAAAATTGAATTATCGACCACTTCGTTCCCTGTAACAAATTAGTCTGCTAAAGGATTATTTCTCAACATTTAGAAAATTTTGATCTATCCAGCTAGATCCATTGCAAATTCCTGTCTTTTCTGTTTTCCCAAGCTCCAAGCTGGACCATACGCAATAGGCATTGAAGAGATGACAAGAATAACTTCACTTGCCAATCATGCCTCTCTGGTGTTGTCATGAAAAAGTTCATGCTTTGAACTGATTGTTGTGGTTATTATCCGTTTATCTATGATGACTTGATTTTGATTGAGTGGTACTGCTATTATTGCACAACTCAGTATTACTCCCCGAATAAATTGTAAACCAAGCGCCATTTTATTTTTTTTCCCCATCATAATAAAAACATGCAATCATTTTTCTAATTATTTTAACTGGTATTTGATGTTGGCATATCAGGACGGAGCTCTGTCAATTTAGTGGGGGCAAGATCTACCCTGGGAAAGGCATCAGATTCGTTCGCTCTGATTCTCAGGTGACTTCAATAGGATCAGTCTTTCATTTTCAGGGCTCATATGATGACCTATTGTTCACTAAATGGGTTCTTTTTATATTTTTATCAGGTCTTTTTGTTTGCCAGCTCAAAATGCGAAAGGTACTTCCACAACAGTTTGAAGCCTTCAAAACTCACCTGGACTGCCATGTACAGGAAGCAACACAAGAAGGTGTTGCTATGATCAAAATTACCGATAGTTTTAGTCAACCTTAACTTGTATCAATTCCACATATTAAATTTCCTTGATTGTAAAGAATTCAAAATATCTAAATAAAACATATAAATCTAAGATCATAAAAAATTATTGGTTTCTACATGGGTGACTTCTTGCTTGTCTTGAATGTTTACTGCATTGAGGTGTCAGAATTAAGCACATAAACGGAATGTGTGTATTTGCTTATTGTATTCTGAAACTGTTTGAAATGTCTGATCTCTCATTGATCAAATGCATGATTCTTGTTTGTGTATGTGGTGTGGTGCAGGACCTTGCCCAAGAGGCTGTGAAGAGGCGTCGCACCACCAAGAAGCCTTACTCTAGATCGTTTGTCGGTGCTAATTTGGAAGTTACCCAGAAGAGAATTGTGCTTTGATAAATGTGCCTGTGGAGGTTGAGAGTGATGACTTGCAAGAGGACCGTAACGCTAACGCTAACGCAACGGGTCGTTTGTCATTTATTTATTTACTTAGTTTTTTTGGGGTTCTGCAAGTGAATAATACGACGGAATTTTCTTAGCTGCTGCTCTTAATCATCTTTGTAAATAACCGATGACATCTTCAATCTGAGGTCATGGTCTTAGTTCGGTATTCATTTCTTTTTATGCATTTGTCTATATAAGCGATTATATCTTTATTATAGTATTTTCCCGTTTATTTAGTATGTTAAGTGTTTATGATTATTAAATAAATCGGGGATAAACCGAAAGGATTGGTTTACTGGTGAAATGTGAGCATGTGACGTGTGGTTACTGTGCTATTCAGGTTTCTAAATCCAAGACTGTCTTGCTCTCCCTCACCCTCCCTCTCTCTACCTACCAACATGATACAGAGTATTAAATTCACCAGAGAATTTCTTGCAGAAACGTTGAATAATTTAAACGTGTGCAACCACCAGTACACATTTTTTATATGAATGGGACTTGAAAATTTATTGTCACACTAAGCTAGTAGAATCTTACTCATAATGGTCAATGAAAAATCATGGCTGAATGAAAGAAGATACAGAGAGATAAAGACCAACTCGAAGAGAAAAAAAAAAGTTACAAACGAAGAGGATAAAAAAAGTCAGAGGAAAAGATTTTCAGAGATAAGCCGAAGATCAATGATTCCATACAATTTTTTTCACCGCCTCCTCACCACTTTCTTCTACTTTTCTATGTCAATGGCAAATTCCTCCAGTGCTAATGCCGTCTAAGGGTATATTTGGTTCAATGAGAGGAAGGAAGGGGAGGGATTTTAATGGAGGGAAGGGGAGGGGAGGGGGTGGAAGGATTTTAATATTATCTGTTTGGATTTATAAAAAAAGAGGGGAGGGGAGGGAAAAATATTTTAATATGGACAATTTTGCTCTTATTTTATTTAAGGCGTGGGCATAATGGTCACAACATGACAAAATATAGACATAATGGTCACAACATGACAAAATATGGGTATAATGGTTATAATATGACAAAATATTGCACTTTCCCTCCAAATCCTCCCAATTTTGGAGGGGAGATTGAAGAGGGGAGGGGAGGGGAAATTTTAAAAAATTTTCCCTCCCCTCCTAAAATTTGTGTGTTGCCAAACAAGGGGAAATGATTAAAATCCCTCCCCTTCCCTCGCCTCCCACTCAAATCCCTCATACCAAACACACCCTAAAGCTGATAATGAGTTTGAACCTGCAAGTCTAATTGTCAAAAAATGATGGATTGAATTGGCAAAATGTGAGTTTGTTTTAATGCGGACCTTTTGGCTTGCAGCTTGTCAAACCACAACTTGCCATGAGCTGGGTTGCCTTTTTTTTAATAATTTTTTTTTTGTTTTTATTTTTATTTTAATAAGAAAAAATTATTATTTTCACTCAATTTAAATATAGCTTTATATTTTGTTAGAAACTTCAATTTTAAATTTGATTTCTCATTTTCTTTATTGTTTTATCATTTTTGTATTAATAAAGCAACTACTAAAAAAATTATATATTTATATTTGTAAGTTTTGAGATTAATTTATTTATGGAATTACATGAAAATATACAAAATTAGAATTTAGTCTATAAAAGTTTATAATTTAATTTGAAAAATTAATATTACATACGTAAAAATGAAGAAAAAATGGAGGTTGACAGGTTCCTAACAAGCTCGCATTGGTTAGATGTTAACCAGTTAGGAGGTAGTCTTTTTAGGGCTAACTCACATGAGCTCCAACTCCTATCAACCCAACTCGTATCACCACCTCTAATTGCCACTCATCATAAGTTTGAGTTTAGTATTGATATGTTTGTGCAGATGTATATGTAATCTGAAGAAGTACATCTTTTGGCGTACTAACAATTACTTCATAGTCTGGATTCATATGAAGTCCATTCACTCCATAATTAAGGATTGGTTTTGAAGCGAAAGCATTCTGAAACATTCAAGTGCATTAAATTTTGCTTACCATTTGTTGCCATTATAGAAAAGTTCCAACAGATGATGTAACATGACAACAGTCATCCAATAAAACCAGTAAAAGATCCTCATGGATTGGATAGGATGTTAGGTAATGCATCTCACGAAAAAAGGGCCATCAATATACATGACCCATGTCACCATGACAAATTTTACACGAGAAAAAGAATGGCAATTCTCAATATAGTTTACTCATCTTGCCCCAATAATTTTCCTGACTTCTCAGTTTGATAATAAATTTCTACTTAAAATTAATATGGCCTCTTTTCTCTCTTGGGTAAAGAAAACTTTTTGACCCTCGAGTTTGTCCCAGTTATCAGGATTGATTCCTAGAGTTTAACTTCTATCAATTAAGTTATTAAAAGTTTCATAAATACACACAACTAGTCCTTATGGTTTGAAAACAATATAATCTTGGACATAAATAGTGTAACCTTATCTCAATGACAATCTCTTCATAAATTGCAGAAGAAATTATTGGTCCCATGTAATCAATCAAATAAAACTTTAAAATTGTGTATAAAACTTAAAGGACCAAATTAAACTGACATCAATTTCATTATTCCTTCTCTCTCTTTGTCCTAATCCATTTCTGAATGTTTCATATACATTCACTTTTGTCAATACAAAAAATCTTGGATTGGAAATATTACCATAAAACAATCCTTTAAACATTATCTAAAACCAAATAGCAGCATTAGAATTTCTACATTGTAGATCCTCCTTTGATATTTTCATTAATATTTAATAGACCTCTCCAACTACTTGCGGAAGACTATCAAAGAGATAGGCTTCATATGAGAGGTAATTATCACCAATACTACTTGGGATTGTTCAGAGCTGCAATGGAATTCAGTCCCATAACAGAAGCTCAAAGCTTTTACACATCGCCTGGAAAAAAACATGAAACAAGAGCACATCCAATTGAGATTTGAATTTTACACAGGAACATTTATCGGCATATACAACTTCTTTTAGTGTCCAAATTGTATCAGCAACATTTTGAAGACTACAAACTAGACTATAAAGACTTCAATGTCTATACAACTTTTTTTAGTGTCCCAATTGTATCAACAACATTTTGAAGACTACAAACTAAACTATAAAGAGTTCAATGTCTATATATTAGAAGATATATAGGTATAATATGACAAAGCTGATACATCTTTTAAAAAGGAGAAACGGAATGCAAAGAAAAAGCAATATATGAAACCATCTAATTCTTCTTCCTAAGATGTAGAAATCAAAAAAGACAGTAAGCTTGTGAAATTAGAGGAACAAAAATAGAAATTGAGTCAAAAAAGAAAAAAGACAAAGATAGGAATCACCAACTAAAGAAGATTGCAGGCTTCTTTCACCAAAAAGAAGAAGAAGAAGAAGAAGAAGATTGCAAGCTTGTCAAATTAGAGTAACAGAATATTTTATTATGAATTTTCCCTGCATTCAATGACCAAAAATTGAGAAAGCCAAGAAAAATTTTGAAACTTAAAGCATCCAATTCCCATCACAGTTTCAACAATGAAAAGAAAATGAATAATAGTAAAGCACAAGTTTCTTCCATCCCATACTACAAACCTCAGGTTTATCTTAGTAAAGATCTACTGAAACAAGTCAAAACAACATTTGGTAAATGATCACATATTACCATCTGCATAAGAATTACGTAAAGGAAAACAGAACATGTCCTAGAACAATAATTGCTCACCAACCATTTTTGCCTTTTCACTATAAGAAAATCCCGGAGTACCATGTCGCCATGTCTAGTGACTTATAGAGTAATCGAAGTTGTACCATTAGATTTTATTGCCCTGGAATATATTACTCCCTCAAATCCTTATTATGAGCTTCAAATAACTAATTCATGGATAAAAACTATTAGTTAAAATTAGTTAAAAGTAATAAGTAGATTAGAAATATACTTTTGTTTCCAAATATGTCCTTATAATAAATGAGAAAAAAGACGAAAGAAAATGTGTTGGAAAATGTGATAGGAAAGAATATGACAAAAGAGAGAGAATAAATAATTAAGGACAAAATGAGAAAAATGCATTAATGTTAAGACAAAGTCAAATTGAAGCTTATAAATAGGACTGGAAGGATTATTTTCAAGTACGAACACCAAAACTTCAATATGGCAGACAACTTCTGAAGTCTGAACTTCTGTCACACAAATTTCCAATCATTTTAGTGTGATCATCACATGGGTATTAGTTAAAAGAATCACCCCCCACCCAAGATTCTCAAAGGTCCAGGCAAGAGATCAAGCAAAGACATTATAAAAAGGTAACAAATGGTAGCCAGAAGAGTCCAAATGTCATAAAGTCTAATTTTTATTGGAATCAGCTCGCCAGAGTGACAAAGATGAACTCAAGAATGAAACTCAGATTGACACAAACCCAGTCATCCCAAATAACTCAAAAACGGGATAAAAAGATAAATCAAAAAGGGATTACCTATGCAATGCCTTGGATCTACTCGGTGGAAGAATAACAGAGGTTCCTTGTGTTCATAGGCTATTGTGATGCCTCCTGTTCTCTCTATGGTGCTGTTTCTTTCATTCATTTATCGTTATCTCCCTCTTGATTTGCTTCAATTGAATGCTTCTTCTTACACCCGAGGCAACAACTCACAGTGGGATCTGAGATAAGACAAATTTTGAACTTAGAAATTCAAGTTTAGATATAAAAGGAAGCAGGGGAAAAACAACAAAAGCAGAGCCCAAGAGGGAATCAAACTATTCAAGGTTTGTGAATAGTTCAGTTTCCTCCAGTTCTTATATTTAATCATAGTATAAAGTCGGAGGTTTACTTGCTATGTGCTCTGCTGTTTCCTTTAAATTTTGCTCGATCAACTGGCAGTCGGAGGTACTATCATGTAGAGGTAGCATTGTTCCTTGAAAAAATGAGTCGTTACATGCCCAAGTGTATTAGTCGATTGGATTACTTTTCATCCAACTCTTTCTTTTTCTTCACTTGGAAGAAATGAAACCCAGCTGTACAACAATAAAATCAGAGGTCAAAAGAGTGCTATAAATCAAAGTTTTTGAAATATCATGGAAACAAATTGCTCAGCAGCCATGCAGCTCTAAATCTCCTAACTTTATGACTCATCTGATTGGAACCTTGATCTATGAAGGGCTTTACCATTCAAAAGAATCAAAACATCATAAATCTCAAAGAAGCTGCAGGGGAAATACAATCACTAGATACAGCAAAAGAAATCGACAATTTTTAGGTTTCATGGAAAATTTTCCATCATACATAAACTTTGCATCTGCCATCGTCTTGGATAAAAAGCATTAGCTAGAAGCAAGCTGAAAACCATGTTACCATTTAATATTAGCCTTTAAAACCACGATCTCCTGTGAAAACAAGAAATTATATTACTGAGACACAATATTGTATGTAAATTATCTGAAGTCATTACAATTTTAAATTTTTAGCTGAAGAATGAGAATTGATAACCACCCTTTAATTTGCATGTGCCTGTTGTTAATGGATGCCAGATGAAAGAAAGATAAACTAATAAAAACGCTGAACAAAGTTTCATCGACCTCAGCACAGTAGTTGATAAAAAACACGCATTGTGGTTGCAAACAGTAATATGCATATTGTCAAGGATTAAAGTAGTTATTTCACTCAAAAAAGAAATAAAGTAGTTAATAGATAGGCAAGTATAACAATGGAAGGATCAACGCATGAAACTTTTTCTTCTGCAATATGGATACAACATTTCAAGCTTTGGTACATGAAAGTGCATGTAGATTCTAAATGCAAAAGAATAAAGCAACATGTATCGTGATTGTCATATTTAACTGGCTGAAGAGATATATGGTATCAACATGTATACGAAAATGACATGGTTTATAACTACATAGGAGTTCATCTCTTCATTTTTTTTCTTCATTTGTGTCTTGATATTTGATAGTCACCATTACTTATAAACATGTAATATTGCCAAAATGAGAAGATAATGACGTTTGAGGAATGGGCCTTCCAACATATAGGATTTAAAGGAATAATTTTCATGTGAAAAATCAGAGGATAAGCCTAAGAAAACCAAAAATAATTATTTGAATGTCTTCCATGAAAGTTTGAAAAGGAACTTGGACCTTTACATGCTTATAAAAGGCATAGTTAATGACCTCTTACAATTGGCATATCTGTATTCGTCACTGGATGGTAAGACATTTTTAATGATTTAGGTGTCTGTTTCTCAACAAGAGCTTGCTTAATGTGGGCAGCCTCCCCAGGCATTCCAGCCTTCAAAAGACAGGATCTCAAAGAATTTACAGTGATATCATCAGGAGCACAACCAACTGCCAACATCTTATGAAAGATATCAATTGCTTCACGCATTCTTCCTTTCATACAGTGCCCGATAATGAGAATTGTAAATGTCACCTTATCAGGTTTGCACCTTTTCTGCTCCATTTCTGCTACAATTACGTTAGCTTCATCAACATTCCCAGATTTGCAATATCCATCAATGACTGGATTGTACATAAATGGTTTAGGAACAATGTCTCTCAGCTTCAATAATCTTAAAAATTCACGAGCTTCTTGCAATCTGTTGCTCTTGCTCAAGGCATTGATAAGAACAGAGAATGTATATAAATTTGGGGTGATATTTTTGGCATTCATTTCATGCCATAGGTTTAAGCCATGATTCACCTGTCCAATTCGACAGTATCCATCAATTAGGGAAGTATAAGTAACAACATCAGGAACACAGCCATGGAAGAGCATCTTTTCATGCATGGCCAGTGCAGAGGTCATGTCACCAGCCTTGCCAAAGCCATCAATAAGAGCATTGAAGGTGATTTGATTAGGTTTAACTCCACATCTAATCATTTCATCATAAAGATTAGCGGCCTCTTCCATCTTAGTCAACTTGCAATAACCAGATATTAGTGTCGTGTAAGTAACAACATCCGGGGCAAACTGACCTTTTGAATAAACTTGTTCTAGTAGATTCTTTGCTCTATTGACCTCATTAATTCTACAAAAACCATGTATAAGAGTGTTAAATGTAACTATATCAGGGGAACAACCACAACTGCTCATGTCATTGAGCAACTTTATGGCTTCATCAGTTTCTCCTGCTCTGCAAAGACCTTGCATTAGAATATTGAAGGTGCAAGTTTCTGGGCGAAAATGTGATCCCATATGTTCCCTAAATAAGGCAATGGCATCGTCTACTTTTTTCTGTTTTACTAAGACGTTGAACAAATCATTATAAACAACAGCACTTATTTCAAACTTACTGGACTTAAAATCATCAAGCAATTCCTTCGAAACATTAAACCTGTCTGCTAGTGCGTAAGAGGACACCAAAGATCCCAACAGCCAACTATCAGGCAAGTGCCCATCCAACTTCATACAGTCATACACCATTTTTATTGAATCGTAGAGACCATCTCGACAGAGAGTATTCAGAAGCATATTATAGGTCAAGCGGGAATGAGTGATATTCAATCTTTCCCTAGTAAATAAAAAGAATCCCAAACCCAACTTTGGACTGTTTAGCCTCTTAATAACCTCAAACACGAGTGAAGGAGACAAGAACTTACTAAAATAGCCCAAAAATCTATCCAATGAGTTTGAGCGGACAAAAATAGTACACACAATCTTAACAAACCAAGCTTCAGCTCTTCTAATCGGCTCTTTATCCTCCCAAGGCCTCGGGTCAGATCTTACATGAACAAGACCATGGTAATGGGCAACGGCTATGTTGGAAACTGAAACACTTGAAGATCGGGATGTGACGAATAAGAGGGTCATCCGCTTCCCCACGCCATCAATGGAGTTACTTCTACGCCCACTTATACGTTCAGTCTCTGTAGTTCTTCTCGTATCACAAGATTTCGTCCAAGGTCTTCGATTCAAACCCCGAAATTTCATCGAGATGGAGGCAATATTGGTATAGCAAACATGGGACACCTAATTACTCTTCTCTATTCAGAACTTAGACACTGTGACAGCAAATGGAGGTCTGCTGGGAACGACCGCGCGAATGCAAGACATCCATGGTGACGAATTTGCTGCCAAATTGAAATCAGTAGCAATCCATTAACCATAAATTGGATAAAGATCCCAAATTCATATCGTTGGAAGAAGGGAATCAGCAACCATTCGAGCAGGACAAGTAATGGCAACGAAAACCTTACCATCAATGACAATGGCGGACCAATGAAGTAGACAAAACCCCAAACACTCACCACTCTATTAAGTGATGCAAAAGAGGAAGATGAGAGAAAGAGAGCTTGGAAGATGACCAACAATGGTGGTCTGCTTCTTTCGCCCTCCCTTGCGGCGTGAGGGTGAGAAGTGGGAAAAAAACGGAGTATACAACCATTCGGGGGATGGGAACCCGCTGGGAATTTCTTTTTGATCTGATTAATGAAAACCAAATTATAATTTTAAAAATATTTTTATAATATATAAAATAAATAAAAATTTATTTTGTTTTACGAAAAAAATGTTAACGCTCTCTAAATCTCATTTAAATTATTTTGATTTTAGTTCTCAGTTTTTTAAAAATTGAAAATTGAAAATTTAGTTTTTAAAAAATTATACATTAGTACACTATTTTTTGTCAACTATAAATCAGTACACTGAAAAGCTTAAAAATTAAAAAGGTGTTTCTTCAAATGCAAAAAGTCCTTTATAAATAGGTGACAAAGGTGATGATGGTTATACTGATACATTCTCTTAGGGAATCTATTCTTATTACTGATCACTTAACAAAACTTTCTCATTATATGGAGGGTAACTTTTGTATCCTAGATTAACCATTTCCTTCAGGTGAGGGGGAGGTTGATACAGGAAATTAGGAGGTATTTAGATGAAATCAAACCATAGTTTAGAGAATGGCTTTTGGAGAATAGATTTTTGGCAGAATAGATATTGAGAGTAATAGATTTTGTCAAAAAGTGATTCTAATAAAGTGAGAGTGTTTGGATAGTTGTTATCAGAAGTACTTTTTATATGTGCAAATTACTAAAAAATACATAAATTAATATGATAATTACATGAAAGATAGATTTTATAATATATTTTAGTTTGAAGGAATAAAATTGTTAATAATATATTTTTACTAACATAATTAATAATATATAAGATAATATAATTAATAAGTATTTAATATATGTATATATATTTATAAATTATAAGATTAAAATATGTTTATAGAAAAATAATTGAGGGATGTTAAAGCCACATTACTGTTGGAATATACTCTAACAGACACAATTATATTCTCTAATTTGCACAAGAAACAAAATGAATTCACTTTTTTTGAAACTATGTCTTTGAGTCCAAAACCATAGTTTTGACCTAAAACCATGATTTGCTGATTTTCCTCTTGTTTAGCAAATTTTGGTTTGGGTCTCAAAACCATGATTTTGGCCATTTCCCAAACAGGCCTCTAGTCCCAATTTTTTTTAGCTTTGCGTGTAAGCACTTGCTCTTAGGTTATGATTCAAAAATAGGTGAAAAAAAGTCAAAAAATAACATAAAAAGAAATTAGAAATTGTAATATTCTAATTCAAACACCAAGAGTTCAAAATCTCAAAGGAAAAAGTTATGTGTGATTTTATATTTTGTAAATATAGTCAAATAACTAAAATGTCTTTATATCAAATTTTTAAAAAAAAAAAGCTATCAAATTTATCATTATCAGTACATTATTTGTTTTTAACACTTGTTATTGCCAGTTCACAGTTTATCAATAAATAACTTGTTATTGCTGAAATATTTCTTGTTATTTGCTATTCAATATTTATTATTGCTAATTTACAACTTATTAATAAATTTTTTGATACAAGGACATTCTTGTCATTCAACTATATTTGCAAAATACCTGATCATGTATCATTTCTTTTCGTGGGATTTTGAAATCTCACATACCAAAATTAGATATTACAATTTTTAATTTCTTTTTATATCATTTTCCCAAGAAAAAAGCTCTTCGTAAGAATAAAATAATGTCATTTTTGTCCTTTCAAATAGTACCTCAAACAATTTAACTCTAATTAACCTAGGTAGTCTAGTTTAATTAAACGGATCGTCACGCTTTTTCATTCAAATTCCTTAAGCTTTAACCCTAAAAAATTTTCCTTGATTAATCTTTTATAAACAATGTAATTAAAACATCTGAAATTTTACGGTTCTCATATTATTTTAACTAGCATATTATAAATTATTGGGTTAATATTATTTTTTGAAATTTGACCTCATTTTGATTTTGATCACTAAAATTTTAAACCAATGGTTTTTGTCTTTGAAATTTGGCTTTATTCTTGTTCGATTTAAGATTTTTTGGTGTGACATCCATTCTTTCAACACCATTTTAGATTAAATCTAACAATTTATTCGAAAGATTAACCATGATAGAAAAGAAGAAACATTAAAATTTTAAAATCGCTTTCATGGTTAAAAGAAATAAACTTATTATAAAATCCAACAATTTTTCCATACATCAACTTTCCACGAATCAATTTTCCACGCCTTAACTTTCCACTGAAGTCAGTGGAAAACTGCTACTTCTTCTCTTTTTTTTAAAAAAAATATTATTATTTTATTTATTTATTTACTAAATCCTAAAATAAAATTTAGGATATTACAACTGGTCCTTGAAACAAAGATCAAAATCAAAATAAGGTTAAATTTTAGATATCAAAACTAAAATAAGATCAAATTTTATGAACCAATTTTCAAATTTCAAAGACCGAAACCAAAATGATGTCAAATTTAAGAATTACATGTGTTATGAATATAATAATATCTTTGTGAATGTCTATATCTCTCTCAATATTTTCTGTAATTTCTAATATCTCTTATTATCTCTATCTCACAATTATCTCATATTATTATATAATTGTAGATTCTGTCAAAAATGTAAAGCTGTGCCTATAAATAGAAGCCATATATCATGTAGTTAGCACCCTTGAATGGTATGAGAAATATTCCTATCTTCAATTCTCTCTTATTCTCTATTCTTTCTTTAGTTTTATAAAACGTTATCAGCACGAAACTTTAACCAAGATATGTATGATATGCTTTTAGATCCTCTGCATAACTTTAGGGTTTATTTGGTTGGAGAGGAAGGTAGGGGAGGGGAGGAAAAACGAGTCTCTTCCATCATTTGGTTAAAAATTTTGGAGGGGAGGGAAGCCAAAATGTCCTCTCCTCTCCCCGCATTTTAGCTCCCCCCAAATTAGAAGTTTTTGGAGGGGAGTTAAATTTTTAGACTATCATATCCTTATAGTTTTTTTAATATTCCACTACTACCTATAAAATATATTATTATAATATTTATTTCACATAAAAATATATTATCCTAAGTAAAAAATAAAAACTATAAATTATTATAATTAAAAAATATATTATAACAAAAATTAATTAAAAATAAAAAATATTTAAATAAAAATTTATAATATTATAATATTATAAAATTAATTTTTTTTATAAATATATTATTTATTAAATATATTTTAAAGTCCAAAAAAAGGATAGCCTAAAGAGAATAAAATTTCATTTTTCTTAGAGCATATAAATTTGTTTATTTGATTATTTCAAATATATTATTATATTAATTAGAACAAACAAATTACTGTACTGATTTTTTAATACATATATTGACAAGATAAGACTGAATTTTTATTAAATTATATAATTTAAATTAAGATGTAAATTAATTTATATAATATATCGATAAAAAATATAAACTAATATGCAAGGATAAAATGGTAAATTGATTATTACTATCCCTCTCCTCCCCTTCTTGAACCAAATAAGGGATTATTAAATATCCTTCCCTTCCTTTCTTTTTAATCAAACCAAACAAGGTGAGGATAAAACCTCCCCTCCCTTCCCTCAAACCAAACAGGTCCTTAAAGTATCATCTCTATGATTTTTCTAGAGTATTTTTTGCTCTATTCAAATGAAAATATATCGAGCATTCTATATATGGTATTACAGAGTATCCATATCTCTATTCAATTTATTTGGGATAATCTAAGCCATTATATGGAAATAAATGATCCCTTACCGTCATTTTAAATTGGAGATTATTATTACTTTGTATTTTTACGCTATAATTTAATTTTGATATGAATATTATATCTTTCGAATTAAATGTAATTTGAGAAATTTGTTTTCCTCTATTCCTTAGTAACCTAACGGCACTATTTTTGATGAAATCTGAAGTTTCAATCGATATTTTTATACATCCCCATGACCTGACATCACTAATTTTGATGGAATCTAGAGTTTCAATAAATATTTATGATTACATATGGCTAATACCCAAATTGAGAATTTGAAGGAGTAATGGTTATAATATGACTAGAAGTCATATTCAAGCAAATAGCAAAATTTATTGTAGAGCCAAAAGGTCATAAGATATGAGGATAAACTTTTAAAAGGTTCAAATACTTACACTAGATAACAAAATTTGTTATAGAGCTAAAAGGCT